TTTTCCCCCCAAACAGAGATATTGGCAAATGGGAAGAACCAACAATAGGGCTGGATAGCTCAGTTGGTAGAGCACTGGTACGGTGTTCCAGAGGTCGCAGGTTCAAATCCTGCTCCAGTCAATTTCTTTGTTCATCTTTTGAAGTTTTTCCTTGGACAAAATTCTATGTGCATTTTGTATTTTCCAGGCAATTCCATCCACATTGCCAGAGAATTAGAATAAAGTCTTTCCTTTAAAATTTTCACAAAACTGCAAGTCACAAATTGTTGGCTCAGTACTGAAAGGTATTTACTGCAAAAATGTAATTTTTGAAACCACTCTAAGGGCCTTACTCTGTGCACGAAAAAAATATTTGATTTAAACAGTTTTTAATTTTTAGTCATAAAACTACTTTTTTGAGGCCAACATGTTTAAATTTTAACTGATTATGTTTCCCAAATTAATGTCTAAAACAATATTTTTCACTAAACACCTTGTAGTGCTTTCTAAGAACCTTTTAGCACTGAAATGAAATTTGTTTCATTTAAAAATATTACCCTGCAAAATGCTTTGTGTGTATGTAAAACAATCACCATTTATTGCTATAACCAGTTAATTTCTGTTTGCAAGAGAAATAAATGCACATTTATTTAAACTAGCAGAACTACTTGTTTGTACATGTATATCTATTTGTAAAACCAGTACTTTGCCACCTAACCTTTCTCCTAATCTAGACCATTTTACACTGCCAGAGTTTAAGGTACATCCATTTCCATCTTTAGATTTTATATTACAGCATCATCCGACATGGAAGCCCTGCCAGTCTTAAACATCTTCCTAGCTCCTTGTATAAAGTTCCCTCTCTGAGCCTTTTAGTCTCAATCTTATAAGGGCTACAATAAACCCAATAGCAATATGGAACATGAAGAAGTTATGTCCTTCAAACCCATGGGATCCTCGGAGCTCTAATACTGAAAGTCCCAAGCCCTTGGCCATCCACTCTACCCTTCCTATCAGCTCTCAGACTTCCAGCCCCTAGGACTTCCACCCTTGCCTATCTCCAGTGCACAGTTTGGCTGAAAAATATTCTAAGTCCAAACAATGGAAGGTTTAACATTTAGAAACGAGCACATTTTTTCAAGAAAATGCCGTGGCATAGCGGTTAAGGACACTAACTGCTATGCACAAGGACCTGGGTTCAATTCCAGGTAGGCATGCACAATTTTGTTAAAAAACTTAGTAAAAAAAAAAAAAAAAAAAAAAAAAACTTCCTTTTCCGGGGACCCCGGGATTTGAACCGGGGTCCCCTGGCCTGGCAGCAAGCTCACTAACCACCAGGCCGTTGGCCTCTTGATAGATAAGATTTCGGAACTTATATTTATAGGTTAGGATTGCGCAATTTTAAAAAAGGTCAAAGGGCACAGAATATTTGCATGAATTTAAATACTATTCAAATTAAATTTGAATATGCTAATTGACAGAGAATACACAAATTATTCAGACCTTGCACGTATTTCAGTATATTTTAGGTCAAACATATATTTGCAAACCTTTCTATATTTACACTTTCAAATGTTCAGTTTTACATCATGTGTCACCAAAACTTCAACTATGTTGGTTGAAACTGGAACACACAACTTAGAGAAAGATTTTGCTAGGATTGAAACGTCAGGTCCTCTGAATTCAGAGAATATTTCACAATTCTAGGTATCTTGCTATAAACATTAAAATTTGTCAGTTTTTCGGGATAAGAGGAGATGCTACTGCTGTGAGGTAAATCAGGGAATTCACTGAAACAGCTAGTGTTCAGC